CCGGTTCTCGACAGCGCCGCCCACAAGGAGGCCTTTGCGGAGGTCTTTGACGACGATGCCTCGCCCAAGGAGGGCGCCTCCATCCAGCGCATCCGCGCCAACTCCAGCATCATGAAGCTGCGGAAGCTGCTGGTCGCCAACCGTGGCGAGATTCGTGAGTTGCGGCCCATTCTCAGGCGTGATTAAGTGACAATTGACGGCAATGGCTTGCTGACTGTTTTGTAGCTATCCGTGTACGTGTGAACCCGGCGACAACGTCTTTGATCGTGCTGGAAGCTTCACATATAAAAATCAGATGAAAAACTAACGCGATCCTCTTTTCCCTCGTTTGCAGATCTTCAGAACCGTGAGTAACTGCCTCCTCCCAGCTCTCACTGCCCGTTTCGATGTAGCTAACCATGGCACAGGCCCACGAGCTGTCCCTCCACACCGTGGCCGTCTACAGGTAACGCACCGCCTCTGCAACCCCGCGCTGTGTTCACGCCGCCTGTGTCCCTTCAGCATGCTAATTGAGTAGTTACGAGGATCGCCTGAGCATGCACAGACAGAGTACGGCCCTCCCCGCTCTACACATCGTATACATTTCTCACGGGGCTGTCACTAACAATAGCAGAGGCCGATGAGGCGTACGTCATTGGCAAGCGCGGCCAGTACACCCCCGTCGGAGCGTACCTGGCCGGCGACGAGATCATCAAGATTGCCGTTCAGCACGACGTCCAGATGATCCACCCCGGCTACGGTTTCCTGTCCGAGAATGCCGAATTCGCCCGCAATGTCGAGAAGGCCGGCCTTATCGTATGTTCACTTGCCTTGTCGCTCTTTCCAGTTTTATTGTGTTTCTGTCGCCTCCGTCGCTCCTTCCTAACTCGCTTAGTTCGTCGGCCCGAGCCCCGACGTCATTGACGCCCTTGGCGACAAGGTGTCTGCCCGCAAGCTCTCCATCGCCGCCAACGTCCCCGTCGTCCCAGGCACCGAGGGCGCCATCGCGACGTTCGAGGAGGCCAAGACCTTCACCGACGAGTACGGCTTCCCCATCATCATCAAGGCTGCCTACGGCGGTGGCGGCCGCGGCATGCGTGTCGTCCGCGAGCAGAGCGAGCTCCAGGAGGCCTTTGAGCGTGCCACGTCCGAGGCCAAGTCCGCCTTTGGCAACGGCACCTGCTTCGTCGAGCGCTTCCTCGACAAGCCCAAGCACATTGAGGTCCAGCTGCTCGGTGACAACCACGGCAACATGGTCCACCTCTACGAGCGCGACTGCTCCGTCCAGCGCCGCCACCAAAAGGTCGTCGAGATCGCCCCCGCCAAGGACCTGCCCGCCGAGACCCGTGACGCCCTCCTGGCCGATGCCGTCCGCCTCGCCAAGTCCGTCAACTACCGCAACGCCGGCACCGCCGAGTTCCTCGTCGACCAGCAGAACCGCTACTACTTCATCGAGATCAATCCCCGCATCCAGGTCGAGCACACCATCACCGAGGAGATTACCGGCATCGACATTGTCGCCGCCCAGATCCAGATCGCCGCCGGCGCCACGCTCGAGCAGCTCGGCCTTACCCAGGACCGCATCTCCACCCGCGGCTTCGCCATCCAGTGCCGTCTCACCACCGAGGACCCGGCCAAGGGCTTCCAGCCCGACACCGGCAAGATCGAGGTCTACCGCTCGGCTGGCGGTAACGGTGTGCGTCTCGACGGTGGCAACGGCTTCGCCGGTGCTGTCATTACGCGTAAGTCTGACAATCGCGCCCCTTTGGCCCCCTTCGCACTTTCCTCCCTTGCACTTGACTTAATGGCTCCTTCCCTTTTTTATTTGCCATCCTCGGCGCTCCTTCCGTCCACGGTTTTGTTCTGGGCACCCCCGCCAAAAGACCCACAAATTCCTAAATGCTCCACTTTAAACCGCAGCCGTTCTTTCCACAGCGCAGAATGGCATCGACGTCGCGATATCTTGAACGTTTTGATTTCTTTCACATCGCGAGCCTTCTAGCTAACTCTGATAACAAATTTAAGCCTTCTACGACAGCCTCTTAACAAAATTAATTTGCCACGGCTCTACATACGAGATTGCGCGCCGCAAGATCCTGCGCGCGCTCGTCGAGTTCCGCATCCGCGGCGTCAAGACCAACATCCCATTCCTGGCTTCGCTCCTTACGCACCCCAAGTTTATTGATGGCAACTGCTGGACGACCTTTATCGATGATACTCCTGCGCTGTTCGACCTGGTCGGCAGCCAGAACCGTGCCCAGAAGCTCCTGCAGTACCTCGGCGACCTGGCCGTCAACGGCAGCAGCATCAAGGGCCAGGTCGGCGAGCCCAAGCTCAAGTCGGAGATCATCCAGCCAACGCTGCTCGACGACGCCGGCAACGCCATCGACGTGTCGCAGCCCTGTACCAAGGGTTGGCGCCAGATCATTGTCGAGCAGGGCCCCAAGGCCTTCGCCGAGGCCGTGCGCGCCAACAAGGGCTGTCTGATCATGGACACCACCTGGCGCGACGCCCACCAGTCGCTGCTGGCCACGCGCGTGCGCACCGTCGACCTGCTCAACATTGCCAGGGAGACCAGCCACGCGCTGCACAACCTGTACAGTCTGGAGTGCTGGGGCGGCGCCACCTTCGACGTTGCCATGCGCTTCCTGTACGAGGATCCCTGGGACCGCCTGCGCGCCATGCGCAAGCTGATCCCCAACATCCCTTTCCAGATGCTGCTGCGCGGCGCCAACGGTGTCGCCTACTCGTCGCTGCCCGACAACGCCATTGAGCACTTTGTCGAGCACGCCAAAAAGAACGGCGTCGACGTCTTCCGTGTCTTTGACGCGCTCAACGACGTCGACCAGCTCGAGGTCGGCATCAAGGCCGTGCACAAGGCCGGTGGTGTCGTCGAGGGTACCGTGTGTATCTCGGGCGACATGCTCAACCCCACCAAGAAGTACAACTTGAAGTACTACCTTGAACTCGTCGACAAGCTCGTCAAGCTCGACATCCACGTCCTGGGCATCAAGGACATGGCGGGTGTGCTCAAGCCCCAGGCCGCCCGCCAGCTGATCGGCTCCATCCGCAAGAACTACCCCGATCTGCCCATCCACGTGCACACCCACGACTCGGCCGGCACCGGTGTCGCCTCCATGGTGGCCTGCGCCGAGGCTGGTGCCGACGCCGTCGACGCTGCCTCTGACAGCCTGTCGGGCATGACCTCGCAGCCCAGCATCAACGCCATCCTGGCGTCGCTCGAGGGCACCGGGCTGGAGCCCGGCCTCAACGTGCACCACGTGCGCGCGCTCGACACCTACTGGGCGCAGCTGCGCCTGCTGTACTCGCCCTTCGAGGCGCACCTGGCCGGCCCCGACCCGGAGGTCTACGAGCACGAGATCCCCGGCGGCCAGCTGACCAACATGATGTTCCAGGCGTCGCAGCTCGGCCTCGGCTCCCAGTGGGCCGAGACCAAGAAGGCCTACGAGCACGCCAACGAGCTGCTCGGCGACATTGTCAAGGTCACGCCCACGTCCAAGGTGGTGGGCGACCTGGCCCAGTTCATGGTCTCCAACAAGCTCGGCCCCGAGGACGTCAAGGCCCGTGCCTCGGAGCTCGACTTCCCCGGCTCGGTCCTCGAGTTCTTTGAGGGCCTCATGGGCCAGCCGTACGGCGGTTTCCCCGAGCCGCTGCGCACGGACGCCCTGCGCGGCCGCCGCAAGCTCGAGAAGCGCCCCGGCCTGTTCCTGGAGCCCGTGGACTTTGCCAAGGTGCGCAAGGACCTCGGCAAGAAGTACGGCCCCGTCTCGGAGACGGACGTGGCCTCGTGGGTCATGTACCCCAAGGTCTTTGAGGACTACAAGAAGTTCACCGACAAGTATGGCGACCTGTCGGTGCTGCCGACCAAGTACTTCTTGTCCAAGCCCAACATTGGCGAGGAGTTCCACGTCGAGCTCGAGCGCGGCAAGGTGCTGATCCTCAAGCTCCTGGCCATTGGCCCCCTGTCCGAGAACACGGGCCAGCGCGAGGTCTTTTACGAGATGAACGGCGAGGTGCGCCAGGTCACCATTGACGACAAGCAGGCCTCGGTCGAAAACGTCAGCCGGCCCAAGGCCGACCCCACCGACTCGAGCCAGGTCGGCGCCCCCATGGCCGGCGTGCTGGTCGAGCTGCGCGTCAAGGAGGGCTCCGAGGTCAAGAAGGGCGACCCGCTCGCCGTCCTCAGCGCCATGAAGATGGTAGGTTGCCCACCCAGACAGTCTGTCTTGTCAATACGTCCCGCTAACAACTCAGGAAATGGTCATCTCTGCGCCGCACAACGGTGCCGTTGCTGGTCTGGTCGTCAAGGAGGGCGACTCCGTCGACGGCTCCGACCTGGTCTGCCGGATAACCAAGGCGTGAGTTCTTGGCTGACGGCGGCCTGCGTCCATATTGGGAGAAAAAGTCTATTTAGGGCATACGGCGCTGTGTTGCAGACGGGCTGCAGCAACTATTTGGTAAGGCACCGGGTAGCGGCCACACGCGACGGAGGAAGGCCACTGGAGGACACCCGCGGGCTACACAGTACTTTTGTTTGTTTGATTTTATATGTATTGGCTTTGCGTAGTTTTACCCTGCAATTGATTGCACTACCATGATTGTCCTAGACAGTGATTGATGCAGAGTAGTAAAGAAGTGTGGAGCCGCGATAGTTGCATATAAGTCCGACTCGGTACATGCATACCAAGCGTTAAAGTAAAGTGGGACCCAATTCTTATCGCTTATCGCTTCCAAAATTTTTGGACGGCAGAAAAAGCTTCAACGGCAGGCACTAAGAAAAAAAAGTAGCAGGAGCCACCCGCACCATAGGCAGATCGCTCCTGCCCGTTCATCACCAACCGACACCTGCCATGCCTGCCTTTAAAAGAAGTTGATGCACCGCGGCGGCAGCAATTACCCCTGAATAGCTTCCTTCTCTCCCTTCTCCCCCTTTCCCCCTCTCTCCCTTCTCACCAGTCAATCCAACACAACGGGGAGACTCACCGACCACATCGCCCATCATGCCGTCCAAAACGGCGGGCCGCATCGCGAAGGCGCAGCGGACAAAAAAGCCGCCCGGCCAGCAACACCAGAAGAACCACCGCTGGGAGTCCTTCAGCAGCAAAATTGCTCAGCTGCATTCTCTCGACCCGCTCCACAAGGTCCGCCGCCATGACCTCGACGCCGACGCCGCTGGCGACCTGTCCGCGACCACCTCCTACTTCCGCAACGGCCTCGAGCGATGGACCGACCTCAACCTCTCGCGCGGCTTCACGGCCTTCCGTCGCGCGGTGTCGCCCCTCTGCGACAGCCTCGCCCAGATTCTGCACTTTGAGGACCGCATCATGGACCACCTCGCGGCGGCCATTCGTGGAAGCCAAGGCCAGGACGACGGCCGGGAGGCTCTGGAGCCCCTCCTCGACCTGCTGGCCGCGTTCGCGCACGACCTGGGCAGCCGCTTTGTCGCTCGCGGCTACGATGCACGCGCCTTTGGTCTGCTGGTCGACGTGGCACGGCACAATACTGGCGCCGGAATTGCGCGGTCACACCACCAGCAGAACCACGAGCTCGACGCCGCCGTCATCGAGTGGACGTTTACGTGCCTTACGTTTCTGTTCAAGTACCTCTCCAAGCTGCTCGTTGCGGATCTGCGCCCGACCTACGACATCCTGTCCCCTCTCCTTGGACGGCCCGACCTCCGACCTCCGACTGACACATTCTCCTCGTCTACTCCCTCCAAAGCCGCTTCCACGCCGGCTCCCTCCTTCCCACGAGTGCCCGGACACATTGCACGGTTCACGGCCGAGGCCCTGAGTTTCCTTGTCCGCATGACAGCGAACCCGTCGCGACGTGACTCGGCCATGCCGTTTATCGTCAACCACATCCGCGACGACTTGCTGCGCGCGACCGAGGCCGCCGCCAACCAGACCAAACACAGCAACAAGAAGGTCAACACTGTTCAGCTCTACACGCAGGGCATCATGACCCTCTTTGCGGAGTCCACTAAGGGACCTAGTATGACACTGCGGCTGTCTTCGGCCGAATTGGTCGTCGGCATGATTCGTGCCGTCCCCGAGAACGAGCTGGATCCGCAGCTGGCGTCCCGTGGCACACCCTGGAGCGACGTGTGCTGTGGTGTTCTCACCAGCATCATACACCATGCAAACCACGATGCCCTGCGGCCCGTGGTTGACGCCATCCTGGCTGATGCCGCGTCAGAAACTAAAAAGGTCGTGGCAGCGGCAAAGTCGAAAAAGGCTTCCGTTGTTGCTGCTGCGGGCCCATGGAGACTGTCCATCTTCATTCGCCTATTTGGGATTCTTACCGGTGTGCGTGGTGGCGCCAAGATCCACGACTGGGCAGCCCTCGTTCCCGCTCTGGCCGAGACGCTCGAGGCCATGGCTGCAGCACCCGAATCGCAATGGCCGCCGTTTACGCCGCCAACTGCCAACGAGCCAGCATCGCCCGTCTGGCGCTACATTGTCGCCAATGTCGCCATTGTTTGGAACCATACACCACCCTCCGACCTCCGCCCCCAGCTCCCCTCTCTCACAAAGTCGTTGCAGCGCGAACCGCTCGCCCGCTGGTTTGTTCCCTTCTGTGCCTACACCGCTGAGCTCAATGCCGCCAAATTCCACAGCACGTTACAGGCACCGTTTCAGGCGTTTGTGTCAGCACACTGGGCGCATGACGGCAACGAGGACGTCCTCTGCGCCGTCTTGCCCGACATGGTCAACGTCGGTGCCTTCCCCGTCGATCGTGAGCGCCTGCGTCTGCCCCAGTCGTGGCAGGACAGCATTGTGCGCAAGTTTGAGCAGCTCGAGGCCACGCCGTTCCCCGAGCGCGGTGTCTACGGCAAGGACCCAGCGACGTGGCGCGACCACTGCTTGCCCAAGTACGCCGCACTCCTGGGCGTGCTCGACATGACGATTGTGCACCCCTCGACGCCCGCGCGCATCTCCGAGCTGCTCCTGCGCAAACTTAAGCTGGCACTACGGCCTACCTCTCCACAACTCGCCAACAACGACGAGACGACGTTTATTGTCACGCAAGGCTTCCGTGCTTACCTGCGCATGGCCAAGACCTTGGCTGCAAAGCCGGATGCCGGTCTGCGACCATTGTTGCGGGCGGCTGCGCCGCGTTTTGCCCGCCGGACAGGCTTTCTTGAGGCCCTCCTGCAGTACGAACAGCTGGTCCCTGAAGAGCCTGTGGCTCAGGGTGAGACAAAGAAGGACAAGCAAAAGCCAGATACGGAGGACGACGAAGAGGAAGAGGATCCCATTGTCAAGGTCTTGGTTAGTAACCTGTCGGCACCATCGCACGCGCTGCGCCTGGTCTCGCTTAAGATCCTTGAGCGCATTGGTGACAGCAACACCGCGACCGACTTGGCCACCTTTCCGGAACACGCCAATGCGCTCGCCAACATGTTACAAACCGAGGACATTGGATTCGCTCCCCACAACGTCCGCAACATCGCCGCCCACCTGCGTAAACTGGCCCAGGTCTACGCCCACGTCACGCCCGGCTCCTGGATCCAGGCTGCCATCCCTGCCTTCCTCTTTGGCATGCTGTCTGTGCCCCTTGCGCCAGTCTGGGACGACGCCGTCAAAGCCATGAAGCAGGTCGCGGAGACCAACAAGGCCGGCGAGGAGGCCATTGCTACGCTCGCCTTTGACTGGCTTGAGGTTACGTCGTCTTCGTCACGTCGCTCCTCTTACAACGGCCAGGCCGAGAGCAGCAGCAGCACCCACGACAACCATGGTACCCGAAAGGGCACCGCGCCGCGCGCCCCGCCCACCGACTTTGAGTGCTTCAAGCTGGAAAAGCTCAATGACTTGGCGCAGCAGACCGAGACGCTCGTCGCGGACCCCTCGGCTGTCATGCTTCAGGCGTTCCAGGCCAAGCAGGAGGCTGTCCCAGCCTATGCAGGCTATGAGCGCGGCAAGGCCCTCAAGGTCCTTGCCGCATTGCCGGGCGTGGCCGAGAAGCGGTCCCGCAAGCTGGTGCCACACCTTTTGTCTTGGACCGAGGACGTGGGCCCTCGCATCGACGCGACCACGGAAGACGACCACGAAGAGGAAGAGGACGGCAATGCTGAGGATGATGCCGTCTCTGAGGAAGAGAACCAACAAAACGGCACAAACGACGAAGAGATGGACGATGTCGACGACGTGGATGCCGACGTTGACGCCGAGGCTGCCAACAGCGAACTTGGCAGCTGGTCATTCCCCGACAAGAAGGCTCTGATCGTTGTCTTCTCCCTCTTTACCAATTCCCAGGTGCTCTACCAGCACGAAAAGGCGTACAATGCTCTTCTCAAGCTGCTGGCCAACGGCGATATTGAAATCCAGCGTCTTGCCCTCAAAGCCCTTCTCGCTTGGCGCCAGGACAGCGTTGTCAAGTACAAGGAGCAGCTCGACAACCTGCTAGACGAGAGCAAGTTCAAGAACGAGCTGACGCTGCTGATGCAGTCTGACGATGAGAATAGCGCCAATGGCATCTTGCCGGAGCACCGTGCTGACCTGATGCCTGTGCTGCTGCGCTTGCTCTATGGCCGCACGATCTCCAAGAAGGGCGCTGCCAGCGGCCGCCAGGGCCTCCATGCTACGCGTCTATTTGTTATCCGCAACCTGGACGTTGCTGGTGTTGGTGGCTTCCTGCAAGTCGCTCTCGGCAACCTCCACGGTGTGCGCATCCTGGACGGCGAAGGGGAAGAGGCCAACCTCCGTGAAAGCATTTTTCCTAGCGCGGGTGGTGTCTCGAGTTTTGACGGCGAGGACGATGCGCTCTTGTCTGCCCGCAAGCAGGTCGGCGTACTCAACATGCTTGAACCTATTATCAACGAGCTGGGCAGCAACGCGACGCCCTTCCTCGATTCACTCGTCAACGCCACGCTCTACTGTTTGATCTGTGCTTGTCGTGGGCTGCAGAATGCGACGTTGGCTGCTGCCGAACAAAACGGTGGCAACGCCGACGATCCCGACGAGGACGAGGATTCTGCCAAGTCGTCGGCCAACACGTCCCTCATGCGCGCCGCCAAGACAGCTGCACTCCGCTGCCTCTGCGCCCTCTTCCGCAACGCACCCGACTACAACTGGGTCCCCTTCCGGAACACCATCGTGACCGAGGTCATTAGCCCCGTTATTGACCGCCTGCCACAGGAGACCACCCAGGGCGTGTCGTGGACCTGGAAGCTGCTGTCCACCTGGGCGCAGCTGCCACAGTGCGTCTTATTCCTGTCGGTCGACGCTCGCGTGCTCCCCAAAATTCTCGAGAGTCTGGCTGCCAAGGCCAAGGATCCTGTCAAGATCCACGCCCTCAGCATCGTCAACAGCCTCGTCCAACTGGCCGCCACAAACGAGGCCGTCTCCACCGACCTACTCATGCCCAACATGGACACGGCGCTCATGCGCCTCAGCGCCGTGCTCCGGTCCACGGCCGATGGCGGCACCACAGGCGGCAGCGAGATCAACCGGGGCCTGCTTGAGGCCTGTGTCGACACCGTCGTCGCACTAGCCCCGATGGTCCAAGCCACGACGCACGTCCGCAGCCTCGTCGACATTGCCACCTGGCTTCTTAACCAACCGTCGCGGCGCGTCAACCCGCGCGTCAAGGGCTCGCTGCTCCTACTGCTTGAGCGCTTCATCCAACTGGACAGCGAGAACGGCGCCGAGCCCGACACGACCCTCCAAGACAAGGTCTACACAACCATTTCTTCGCTGTTTTCCTTCTTCAAAGACCGCGAGAATCGCCAGACGCTGTGCCGCGTGCTGTCCGTCTTTGCTGCCGCACAAACCGGCAAAGGCAAGGCGGCTGTGGCGTACCGCCAGCAACTCCAGACCGTGGCCGACCTGTGCTTTGACCTCAACTCGTACACCGAGAGCCAGCTCGACGAGCCCAACTATGATCGTCGTCTGGCCGCGTTTAGTACCATTGCTCGGCCTGCCGATGGTGCTGTGCCCTTGACCGCGCAGCAGTGGCTGCCGATCCTGCACAACATGTTGTTCTTTGTGCGCGTCGACGAGGAGTACGGCATTCTGTCATCCAACGCGGCGGACGGCCTGTGCAAGCTGGTCTCGGATGCTGCGAACGTCAAGACGCACCTGCCGAAGGAGGACACCGAGGACGCCAAGGCCCTGACAGGCTATCTGACGTCGCTTGTTCTACCGGCCATCTATGCAGGTGCGCGAGACGCCTCGGAGACCGTTCGCCGCGAGATTGCGCGCACCTTTGGCTTTGTCATTGCGACGTTGCGTGCTTGGCCTCCGGTCGCGGACCTCGCCCCGCTAGTCCCGCTTGGCTCAACCGCGGAAGGCGACGAGGTAGACGGAGCGGAGGGCGACGACGCCAACATGGAGGACACCAGCGACGCTGAGGACGACAAGGAGACCAACCGTGCCTTCTTCAGCAATATCTTGAACCCCACCATCGCCAAACAGATCCAGGCCATGCAGGTGCTCGAGGGCATCAACAAACGTCTGCCGCTGGGCAGCAAGAATGTCAGCCAGTTTTTCATCCCCTTCCTCGAGCACTTTATCTTTGGCCGCGAAGACGGTGTCGACGACCGGGGTCTCGGGGCGCAAGCCACGAATACGATTGCAATGTTGGCCTACTCGCTGGAGTGGAACCAGTACCGCGCGATGCTACGGCGCTTTATCACGTTCATCGAGACCAAGCCCGAGCTGCAGAAGCAGGTTGTGCGCCTGCTCGACAAGGTTGTCGACGCAGTGGCTCAGTCGGCGGAGAAGAAGAAGGACGAAGATACGGATACCGCCATGGATGGCGCATCACCGACCACACCGACCGCACGGACCGCCCCTGTTACGCCGATTGTCAAGTGCCGTCTCGCAGCCACTCTCCCCGAGGCTCCGAAGCTCTCCGACGATATCCTCAACAACCTCACGCCGTCGCTCGTGGAACACTTGCACGATAAAGACGAGGAGACTGTCAGTGCGCGTGTTCCTGCCGCCATAATTCTTGTCAAGCTGCTCAACCTGCTCCCGTCCGAGACACGCGATCAGCGGCTGGCTGGTGTGTTAACCGACGTGTGCCACATTCTTCGGAGCAAGAACTGGGACTCGCGCGAAATGGCGCGTGAGACGCTGTCGCGCATTTCCACGATCCTGGGATCGGGCGCTTTTGGGTTCGTGCTCAAGGAGCTGCGCGGCGCCCTCACCCGTGGCTACCAGCTGCACGTGCTTTCGTACACAGTGCACACGCTCCTGCTGGCGGTGATTCCGCAGTTTGCGCAGGGCGATCTCGACTACTGCATCGAGCCCCTCATGGCTGTCATCATGGACGACGTATTTGGCGCTGTCGGCGAGGAGAAGGACGCGGACGAGTACGTCAGCAAGATGAAGGAGGTCAAGAAGAGCAAGAGCCAGGACTCGCTCGAGCTCATTGCCAAGAACACATCCGTTAGCCAGCTCGGCGTGCTGGTACAGCCCTTGCACATGCTGATGCTGGAGCGCATCACCAAGCACGTTGCCACCAAGATCGACACGCTGCTGGCGCGCATTGCTGCCGGCCTGGCCCAAAACCCGGCCGTGGCCGAGACGCGCGAGACACTCGTGTTCTGCTACGAGATCATCCAGGACGTGTACCGCAGCCGCACGCCGGCGGCCCAGGCACAAAAGATTGACCCGCGCATCAAAAAGTTCTTGTTCCAGAAGACGGAGCGCAACAATGCAGGCCAGCGCAAGGCGGGCAAGTTCACGTACAAGCTGATCCAGTTTGCCCTCGACGTGCTGCGGACGGTGCTGCGCAAGTACGATTCGCTGCGTACGCCCGAGAACGTATCGGGGTTCATTCCGGTGCTGGGCGACGCGGTCCTTGTCGGCGAGGAGGAGGTCAAGATTGCGGCGTACAAGTTGCTTGTGGTGCTCGTCAAGGTACCGTTCCCGGACATGACGGCGTTCTCGGGGCTGTACCAGGTGTGCACAAAGGAGGCGATCAAGACGATCAGCACGGCCACGACGACGTCGGGCGACCTCGCCCAGTCGGCACTCAAGCTCGTGTCGGTGGTGCTGCGCAGCCGGCACGACGACGTGCCTGTGCGCAGCGTGTCGGTTGATGCGTTGCTCACGAAACTCAAAGACGACCTGACGAACCCGCTGTACCGCCACGTGACGTTCAACTTCGTGCGCGCCGTGCTCGACCGCAAGATCGAGTCGGCGGTTGTGTACGACACTCTCGACTACATTGGCACCGTGATGATTACCAATGACGACCAGGACACGCGGGATCTGGCGCGGCGGGCCTTCTTCCAGTTCTTGCGCGAGTACCCGCAGCGGCGCAAGCGCTGGGAGCGACAGCTCGAGTTCATCGTGGCCAACTTCAAGTACGAACGCGAGGGCGGCCGGCTGTCGGCCATGGAGATTGTGTACATGCTGCTCCTCAAGGCCACGGCGGCGCTCGACACACCCGCGGCAGCGGCCAGCGATCCCTTTGTCCAGGACATTGTGGGCGCCAGCTTCCTTCCGCTGGTCATGGTGCTTGCCAACGACGAGAGCGCCAAGTGCCGGCGCGTGGCAGGCGCGCAGCTCACAGCAATGCTGTCCATGGCCAAGCGCGACTACGTCAACGAGTTCCTCAAAATGTTCCGCGCGTGGCTGGCGGCCGACGCGCGCGCCGACCTGGGCTCGCTCAAGATGGGCCTCGAGCTGTTTGGCGTGTACTTTGCGTCGTTTGGCCAGGACGGCGCCAATAGCGACAACAGTGACAACAGCGACATCCCGGTGACGGCCCTGCCGTCGCCGGCGCTGTCGACGACGCAGGTGCAGGACATCCAGGCGGTCATTGCGCGCGTCACGGCGCTGCTGGCGTCCGACAAGGTGCGCCGCGGCGAGGTGTACAGCAAGCTGCTGACGACGGCGCTCGAGACGGTGCAGACCATGGTGACCAAGTTCCCCGTGCTGGCGCTGGACCGGGCGCTGGCCGAGGATATGTGGAATGGCATTGAGCAGTGCCTGTGGCACGGCACGCACGCGGTACGCATGGCTGCCATGCAGCTGGTCGGGCTGTACCTGGCAGACTTTGCGCGGGCCGACAAGGCCAAGGTGGACGTCGAGCCCGGCACTTCGTTTGCTGGCACCTACGGCATGACCCTTGACGACGACACCGTGTCACGGCTTGTGCGCGGCAGTCTGAGTGTGCTGTCGGGCAGCAGCGGGGACGATGTGGATCCTGTGGAAGCCGAAGAGGCGGCCAAGATGTTGGTGCGTCTGGGACAGTACCTTCGCACCGAGGCGGAGGACGATGACGAGAGTGATGCGAGTGACGATGAGGCGGAGGAGGACGAGGAGGCTGGTGAGGAAGAGGCCGACGACGACTCTGATGATGATGAGGGCGAGGTTGTAGGCGACGACGAGGCCGAAGACAAAGAAGAGCAGGCTGCAGCCGCTTCCCAAAAGAGGCGACCGATTGACCGACGCTACGTGCTACTGCGCCTCGCGCGCATTGTCCGCCGCGAGACACCGCCCAAGCTCGCGTCGCTTGTGCCCAAGGCGGCCGCCATGGCTGTTCTGGAAGCCTTCTGCAGCGTGCCGGGACGCAAGGCCAGCCACCCGGCCCACTTCGCGTCGCTGTCGCCCGTCAGTGTGCGGGCGGTCCTGCGGCCGCTGCGCAACCTCACCGACACGTCCATCCCGCCGCCCTTCTCGGCGGACCCGCAGTTCGCGCCCCGCTACGACGAGCTCAAGCTGCGCGCGCAGTCGCTCATGGACGTGCTGCAGACGCGCCTGGGCACGGCCGCGTACACGCAGCACCTGCTGGCGGTGGGCGCGGCGACGCGCGACCGGCGGCAGCACCGGGCGACGAAACGCAAGATCGAGGCGGTGGCGCAGCCGGAAAAGTACGGGCGGGACAAGCGCAAGAAGCTGGACAAGAAGAAGGAGCGGCGCAAGGTGCGCAGCCTGGAGCACCGCGGTATGCGGCGGGGCTACTAGATGTGAGACGGCGTCACTATTGACTGGTTTGTGTTTTAACGGCGTTGGGATACCCAAAAGGGGATCAAAAGCATATTGGGGATCTTTTTGGTTTTTTTTATTTATATAGATTCTGGGACATATAATTCATCAGCATACTTGCATTTTTTGAATCGTTGTCAGCTTCATCTGCGTTTTCTTGGGTCTACACTGCAGACAGAATTGTGACATTCTATGTGATAGGCTTTACAAACGAACTGGTGGAGTCGTGATACAAGTTGAGCTGTGTGGTCAATGTGAGGCCGTTCCCTTTATTGTCTTTACCCGTTGGACATGTCGACACGGCCGTTTTCCTTGCCACAACTGCCGGTAAGTTGTTCTGTGTCTTATCATTTAGATTACATTCGTCTATTATTGTTCCGACGGATGAATGGATTTAACAAAAGTGAGAATGCTGGCTACGATACACATCACTTGCAACCCCCATCTGATCAATGCATGGGCGTGGCCATCTTGCTGCTGCTGATGCCTGGAAGCTCAGTGAGCCCTGTGTCGTTAGTAACTCGAGGTATAAATGAAAATAAACAAAAAAACAAACAGGAAACAAACATCGACCACAACACTTACATCCGTCAATGTCCTCCTGGACGATGTCGGGCGCCGAGCACTTGTTCTGCTCCGCAATGGACTGCGTTGTTACGTTTTTACAGTTGACGTAGCACGGCTCGTCCATGGCCCGCTGCAGCGCGTCGCCTTTCCAGCCAAACATGTAGTCGCCGTGGGTCGCGTAGCCCGTGCGGTCGCCCATGGACCAGACAAAGGGCTGCGGCTCGGTCGCGTTGGCGGGCGGCCAGAGGTCCGGGTCGTTGAAGGCGGACGTGTCCCAGATGGTCTCGTACATGAGCTGGGGGATGCGCACGGGGTGGGTGTCGGGGCAGGGGCCGCCGGACTCAAAGGTGCCCTCGGCCGGGTAGGCGACGTGGTCCTGGTGCGAGGGCGAGTCCAGGTGGACGCCGTCCCAGCAGGTGGGGAAGCGGATGTTGGCCATGATGCCGGCCGGGCAGGGCCGGGTGGGGAAGCCCAGCGTCTCGGGCGAGCGCGTCGACCGTTGCGCCAGGCACGTGTAGGTCAGCTGGCGGAAGCGCTGTGTCTGCGCGCGGGTGCGGAAGCTGGCGTCGCCGACGAGCATGCGGAAACCGGGCTTGAACGCCGTCACCTTGGACACCTGCGCGTAGTCGAAGAGCGCGTCCTGCATGTAGTACACCGTCATGCCGCCGCGGGTGCCCTCGAAGCCGAGATTGGGCACCTGTGGCACGCGCTTGTAGGTGCCGTTGCGCGCGCGGAAGAAGAGCACGGCCGTCCAGTAGTTGGAGAAGTCCTCGGCGAACTGGCACGTTGTGCATGTCGACAAGCCGGGCAGGTCGTGCGCGAGGGGCGTCATGGTCTCGTTGAACGAGTTGCCGCCGATAATCTGGTGGAGATGGGCCGACGGCACCTGGCCGGGATTGACGAGGGGATCAAGGCGCTGGACGACGAGCTGAGCACATCCGAAGCGGAGGAGGGCGTGGGAGGGAACGACGAGAGAGAGGGCCACCAACGTGGCGAGGCCACTGGCCGTGTTGGACAGCATCATGATGATCTGTGGCGATGTGGCGGGAGGAAGTGGTTGTAGGGCAGGATCAGAAAGAAATAACAGACGAAAAAGACGAAAAGAGGTATATAGCGAGGCGTAATGGAGCAAAACAATGATTACTGGTCGTCCATGTCCCTTTCGTTCGTATGCATCCCCTCTCATTCGTCTATACCGGCTAATATGAGTCGAATATATCGACTGGGCTCGGAGGTATCAAGGAGAGGAGGAAGAACAAGGAAACGGGCTTGCGTAATGTTGTGAAAGGATCAAATCAGAACAGGGTATAAAAGTCGAGGTTCGCGTAGTTACCTGCAAATAGCTGTGTTGATAAGTGCTGTTCTCTGGCCAGTCTACCAGAGGTTGAAGATACACTTACGTCGATGTGATCTCTCTATGTAAATGCAGCGAGAAAAATGGTTACACAGCAGCTACATACTGGAACAATAGTCATCTCGGTGGATGGCATGGGAACTTTGGGGACTCTTTTCCTTGACGTATAGTAATTCTGACGGACAATTTTGGTATAACATTCAATACTACTGTTAAACGGGCTGTTGGTAATAAACATGTTTTCTGTAAATTTCCATACATAAAACCAAGCTATAGGAAACCCAACTAACGAAAGTGAACCGCCACAACGTGCTGAGACAGGTTTCCGATTAGGCGCTGGGGGTGCTTGAGATCAGGCTCGGCTTTGGCCTCTTTTTCTCGCCTTTGCAATGGACACAGTTACACGTTCCTTGGAGACCGGTGAAAAAGGGCTTGGGTGATACCCAACAAGTAGCACACTGCCGTATGTCTTCTTTCTGAAGTTCTGGGCGTCTGTCCTTTGGCAATGTTTGCTTACTATATTGGGCGACTTCTCCACATTTTACTTCTGCGTCCTGTCATGGCTTCTTTGTTGTTAGAAGGGACTAGAGGTACATGCAGACTCGTAAAGATGTTGAAAAGATGCCGCGCGTACAGAATGAACTCATGCGATGAGTGCCAAGCGTTGTCTTGCAGGCACTTTCCTCCTTACATAGTATCACAGGTGGGCTCTCCTACCGTTGTATCTCTCTCTTGACAATGCAGTCCTATCTTTGTTTCATGGTGCAGCTTCCATACATGCCGTTGATTATGTGGCCCACTGATACACGCGCCGTCTACCATATTCATTTCCCCGTGCGTTATCTTTCAAGCATCATAATTAAAACGACCCTTTTCGATATCTACGAACCCGTCCTCGACTCGGCATTGTCTTCCGCTCTATAGTCCGAATCGACGCGCATTGCCTATCTGGCAACTGCAAGTTATCTGCAAAGTCATCTGCCATGGTTTGATTAGGGCCAGCGCGTTGCACACTCCCACAGACGATATCTGGCAGAGTTCCCGCCTTTCTCTCACTCAGTCCTTATCTCATAAATTCGGAATTTCGGCCTGCATGTAGCGTCGGCTGCGAATCTGGGGAAATTCTCCGAGCGTCGAAACAAGGCGAGATAGAGTTGGCGGCAGTCGGCATGCCAAGGCCATAATGTTCCTAGTGACACGACGCTGCCGTCGCTTCCGTCCTCTGTGCCGAGATCTGCCTCTTGGCACGACGGCCTGCAACGTCGACCTTTGATTGTTCCAGTCTGTTTTCCATATGGCCGAGGCACGTCGTGCACTTTGTCTTATTTATCTGATGTCTGCTCTTATCTCTTTACAGGTGTACTTCGAGAATAGTTACCCCGTAACGCACACACGAGTGCGTACTTGTCCAATTGCCATGTTTCTCAACTGGCTTCTAGACACTGCCGTCTTGAGCTGTGCAGTGACATCTCCCAACGGAGACTCTGCAGCCGCTCTCATCTTGTATTTTTGCATATTCTGCCAGTTGGCATGCTCGTCCCGCTGACCAGCCGTTATTGGCATATTTGTTTATTGTTCTGCTACCCAGTTGTTGCGGTATATTCGCAGATGCTATTACACGCAATTTGAAAGCCGTTAATCCGGTACACTCTGATCGTCCTTTTTCCGGCGCACAAACCAGCTTTCAGGTTGTACGTTGCATCTCTTCCAACCGTTTAGCCGCCAAGCCTGGATACGAGTCGTGCTGTGTACATTAAGGTCGTGCTGAGTACGCTGATGATCGTATTGTTTGCATCGTGACTGGCCACTTTGGGATGTTACTGTCGCTCTTCTCGCACACTCTGATTCCGATAACAAAACAGGCAATGCTGTCAACTCAGCCCCAGGCCAGTACTGCATTGCCATTGCGATACTTGCGTTGACATGACTCGTTGCATGACCACGTAGACGTTCCCTGTGAAACATGGCGCCCGGTGTTTATCTCTTGTTTCCTCCCGAGATTGATAACGCGTAGAATATTGCTATTGTCCATGCTACTCTTTTTTAGGCATATCGTCAGCGCCGCTGATCCTCCGCTCTCAGCCGCGTTTTGTTTCCGCGTTTGGCCCCGTCCGTCTCAGCTGTCGTCTCTTCGTCTCTGTTTCTGCTTGGGCTTCCTTATTGCTTCCATGTTTCCCATACACTGCTCCCTAGCTTCCCCTCAGCCAAGTCGCCGAGTACGTCGTTCCTCTTTCATCGAGAGGGGTTTATGAGGGATTGCGGCTCGGTACTTCTACACCATGGCACGTCGATAGTGTTCCCTGGACCATCGTTTAGATGCTATGTAGAACCCAGAGGGAGCCGCGCGTCGTTGTCTGTTGCTTGTCTTGCATGGTATTGATTTCATCTCGTCCGACAGCTCCATCTGGAGATTAATATCGCGACATGGAAAGGCGAACCGTCTGGATGCGGAGGCTGGAAGCGGAACGACGAGGTGGTGCGGCTCGAACGAACTTTGTGGGGAAGTCAATGGAGAAGAAGAAACATATTTAGACGTCGAGAGACGTCGATACATGTCTGCGAAGGAGGAATAATACGATGAAAATAAAAATAAAATAAAATAAATCAACACGGCCTACGATATCAGGTCTCTTTGTTTCCTTCGCCTGTATTTAGTATACACATCCTTCGCCCAACATGGGCTTGCACGAGATCAATGACCCGCCCCACGAGCCGACCGACGGCTCTCTACCGTCGTTGTTGACTGACCTATCGGAGAAGAAGGCGGCACAGACGACGACGGTGGAAGTTGAGGCCGATGGGGACGTCGACGAAGCCGCGGTTGACCATCTCGAGAACGAGCTGTAAGTCGGTGCTGCGAAAGGAGCACCAGCAATCCATTACGGACATGGAAGTCTTTAACACAATGTGCCGCAGGGCCTCGTACGGCGTCAACGAAGACCAGTACGCCGAGGTCAAGCGGCTGGCCGAGTCCTACTCGCTGGAAGACACGCGCGAGCGCATTGTCAAAATCATCCAGATCCACGAGCACGACCCCAACTTCCGGCACGACCTGATTGAGGCGTTCAAGGCGTTTGTCCGGGCGGGCGCACAGGACGCGCAGCCGCTCTCACCCTCGCTCTCGCCCTCGCTCTCGCTCTCGCAGATCAAGCTCGAAGTGGCCCTCATCACGTACAACAGCCCGTACCCGCAGGTGCGGGCGGTCGTGACCAACGAAGACGACCCCAACATGCCGTCGTCGACGGTGCGCGCGTGGTGCATCGGGCTGTTGTTTGCGGTGCTGCTGGCGTTTGTCAACCAGCTCTTCTCGATCCGGCAGCCGGCCATTGTCGTCGGCGCCAACATTGCGCAGATGCTGGCGTACCCGCTGGGCACGGCGGCGGCGCGCGTGCTGCCGGACTGGGGCGTGACGGTGGCCGGGGCGCGTGTCAGCCTCAACCCGGGGCCGTTCTCGCCCAAGGAGCACATGCTCATCACCATCATGGCGAGCGTCGGCGGCGCGCCGCCCTTTACCAGCCTCATCATCTGGACGCAGTACCTGCCGCAGTTCTTCAACCAGCGGTACGCGGGGCGCTTCGCGTACCAGATCCTGATCGGGCTGGGCACCAACTTTATCGGCTACGGCCTGGCGGGCATCTGCCGGCGCTTCCTCGTGTACCCGAGCTACTGCGTGTGGCCGACGAGCCTCGTGACGATTGCGCTCAACTCGGCCTTCCACGGCGACCCACACCGCAAGGTGCGCCACCGCGGGCCCTGGGGATGGGTGGCGACGGCGTCGCGGCTGCGCTTCTTTTGTCTGGCCTTTGGCTGCATGTTTGCCTATTTCTGGCTGCCCAACGTGCTCTTTCAGGCGCTCAGCATCTTCAACTGGCTCTCGTGGATCGCGCCCGGCAGCGTGCGCCTCAACAGCGTCGTCGGCTTCAACAACGGCCTCGGCCTCAACCCGTGGCCCACGTTCGACTGGAACATTCTGCACCACGGCAGCGACCCGCTGGTGCTGCCCTTCTTCACGACGCTCAACAAGTTTGCCGGCAGCTTCGCCTCGCTCTTTGTCATCCTGGGCCTCTGGTACGCCAACGCCTTCAACGCCGCGTACCTGCCGCTCAACTCGAACCGCGTCTTTGACCACCACGGCGCCCTCTACAACGTGTCGCGTGCCGTCGACGCCGACGGCCTGTTTGACGCCGCCAAGTACGCCGCCTACAGCCCGGCCTTTCTGTCCGCCGGCAACATCAACGTCTACGTCTTCTCGTTTGCCATCTACACCGCCACCCTCGCCTACGCCGTGCTCTACCAGTGGCACGAGATCCGCTTGGGCTTTGCCGCCGTCTTTGACAGCCTCGTCGGCTTCGTCCGCCCGCGCCGCGCCCGCACCCGCGCCTTCTCCCGCGCCGCGCACTACGAGGACGTCCACAACCGCCTGATGGCCCGCTACCCGGAAGTCCCCGCGTGGTGGTTCGCCGCCGTGCTCGTCCTGGCCACCGTCTGCGGCATCGCCGGCGTCGCCCTCTGGCCCACGCACACGTCCCCCGGCGTCGTCTTCTACGGCCTCGGCCTCTGCGTCGTCTTCATCGTCCCCATCGGCGTCATCCGCGCCATGACCGGCATCGACGTCAGCCTCGGCATCCTCGCCGAGTTCATCGGCGGCTCCCTCGTCCCGGGCAACCAGC